GGTCAGATTGGATTTTTTTTTTTTTTAATTTTCCAAAAGTTGTGAGTGAGGGTCAAGGTGTTCTGTCTGGGTGAGGTGTCACAAAACAGTATGTGTGTGTGTGTGTGTCCCTGTGTGTGTGTGTCTGTCTGCTGCTACGCTAACAATGCCACAAGCTAATCTCCAGTTCTATGAATCTTGTCCAGCTCACCTAACATAACCCTCCATACTCAGCCCTGGCAAAGCATGATGGGACGCTTTATCCCCAGGGTTGACTGGACAGGCGCCGGCCGGGGACCATGACGGGCATGTGTGTGTGACTGAGACCCACACGGACTTCACCGAGTGGCCCACACCACTGTGAGTGTGATTTATAGCAGACAGGATTAGAACAGAGTGGAACAGATCACTGGGCCGCGGCCCAGAGGCTTCAGGTCTGTGATCTACAACAACTGACGCAGGAGCTACCGGTCATCATCGCTCTGTGACGACGACGGACCGCTGAAGGGACGTGACCTACATTCCTCACTTTTAGTAACATGTCACAACGTGTTAACATCAGTGCAACGAGGCGGACGGAGAGAGAGAGGTTGGCACGCAACACTGCAGGAGAGAGAGAGACAGAGAGAGACAGAGGGAGAGACAGAGAGAAAGAGAGAGAGAGAGAGAGGGAGACAGACAGAGAGAGTGAGAGAGAGAGAGACAGACAGAGACAGAGAGAGTGAGAGAGCGAGAGACAGAGACAGAGAGAGAGATAGATAGAGAGAGAGTGACACATAATAAGAAATGAATTCACAGTTCTCAACATTCCTTTCGTGGTTCACATAACTACCGTTATCCGTGTCTCCTGGTGTGAGTGTGTGTGTGTTGAGTGTGAGTGTGTGAGTGTGTGTGTGTGTGTGTGTGTGTGTGTGTGTACACTCATGCTGCACCCAGCCCACACTAATTCTATGCATTCTCGAGCCCTACAATTAGCCAGACCCTAAAAAAGCCCAATAATGACTAGTTCAGACGTGATGCCCACCCTGTGGCAGAGCAGTGGACGACACAGTGGATCAGACGCTGCTGAAATCACTGGAGGACATTCCATCACACTGTCTCACACACACACAGTGGATCAGACGCTGCTGAAATCACTGAAGGACATTCCATCACACACACACACACACACATGCAACGATCCATCAAAGGTCTGCAGACATGGAATGATGATGGAAAAGAGGGGGGGCACACACACACACACACACACAGACACACACACAGACACACCTTCGGAGACACACACAGACACACACAGACACACCTTCGGCTCAATAAAACGCAGCTTGATTTAATGTTATGTAAAAGAGAGAGAGAGAGAGAGAGAGAGAGAGAGCTTCTGGCCTGGTTGTCAATAGCAACAGAGGTTCCAGAGGCGGATCATCAGTACTTGGAGACCGCTCTGCTCCAAAGCATGATGGGAGATCACAGGGGAAGTCTCAGTGATGCTAACAGACAACAGTGACCACATGACAGCTGGAACAACCACAGGTCACCACTGGGGGGAATCGAACCGTGACCTTCTTGCTGTAAGGCAACAACACAAACCGCCATACCACTGTGCGGGACAAAAATGAAAACAAAGACACTGTGAATTCCACAGATCAAATAAACAACAGTGTGACCTGCAGCAGAATGTGGTTTGGATCAATATAAGGGGCGCACACACTGAAAGTTACCCTCAGGCTAACGGCACCACAGACACTGGAGTATAAGACCCTCAGGTTACAGTGTTGGAAACAAACAAACTCTGTGTTGTAATTTTTTTTTTCTCTTCAATTAAATGTTTGTGAGTTACATGAAGTTATGGATCCAAACTGTGGCCTGACTGCAGCTCTGTTGCTAGGCAACAGCTGTAAGGTAGTAGAAGAAGATGGTGACAGAGTTAGGAAATCCCCTGAAGAGCAGAATGTCTCGTTCTCATTCAGCCTTCATGGACCACATGGGTCATGGAGATCACATGGGTCCCAACGTTTGAACGGTGCAGCCTGTGAAGTGGGACACTCACGATTGATCCACCATGAGGCTCGAGGCCCATCACTGACCCCGGCTGTGATTCACAAACACATGGCACTTAAACTAATCAAAGTGATGCCAATGGCACATCCAACACGTTAACTCTTCAACGCCTGGAGGACGACCCGGTAAAGTGGACGTCCTCGCAATGAGTCCCAGGAGAAAAGCAATAAAAAAAAGTGAGTGGGTGTGTATTTTTGTGTATGTGTCCAGTATCTTCCCTTTTTTTCTACATATGATAAGATATAGACATCACAACCTTGACAATCTGTAGATAACAGATGTTCTACAACATTCTACAACCTCTGAACTAGCCTAGCCTATACTAGCTAGCCTAGCTGTACTAGCCATTTCAAGAAGAAGAAGAATTGTATGCTAGGTAGAAAGAAACTCATTCTTTAGTGTCGCAATCACCACGGAACTCATTCTCTCCCCAAAAAACATTAATCACAGATGGATACATACAGAGTACTCACTGGTTCATAAAGTACTGCAAGTAGTATACTAGTAACATAACTGAGCAGTATCTCTAATTCTTGCACAGAGTTTGTAAATATCTGACCGGGGTCATTCTGACCCCTGCGCCCTGTTAGAATACGCGCTCCTTATGTTGGATACGGCGCAGACACGGATCGACGGCGTGGTTTCTAGTTCAGCTATAGATCCTACTGACATGGGAAGAAGGCTGTCGGGGTAATTACGCTGCCCTGTGCGGGTTGCTCTTACAGCCAACAGCCTGGGCCTGAATATGGGTCAATACACACACGTACACGCGCCTCACTGAGTGGCTGGACGAGGACAGAAGAGAAATTAATCTGGGTCAAACAGGAAGTGGAAAACAGACTCAAAGAGCAGACGTGCAGAGATGTGTGATAAGTGGTCGATTATTCAGCTTATCTGTTTTTGGGAGTCAAGATGCCCTCTTATCTCACAACAATTCCACTAATAGCCCAGTTTCCAGGGTGACAGCAGAAGGGTGCATTAGCGCGCGGGACTTAACATCCACTCACACTTCAGACCTGGAAAGTTGACCTTCCACAGAAAGTCGCAGATGACCGGAGCATCTCGATGGAATCGGAATTTCAAAGCCCCCATTATTTGGAACACCGATCATTTCGAGTGTGGGCAACAAGTCAATGGAGGCTTTCATGTCTTTAGGAGGCAGCCAATCCCGTGACTCGGGATGCTGCATAAGCAGAACATATTCAGAGCCTTTTCACCCAACATTATTCATCAGCATCACTGTGAACCAGCTGAGCTATAATAACTGGAAAAATGACACCAAAAATAATAATGATAATAACAATAATAATGATAATAATGAGGGATTTTTTTATAAATGTTGTAAACTTATTAAATATCATTTTCTAGGGATGCATTTATTGGATGCTTTCAACCGCTAATGATTAATCATGAGCTCCTAATGGTTGACACCAAAACAGTAACCTATCGTGTTTTGTAATTTTTTTTCCAATACATTTTCTTAATATATTTATCTTCGGTAAAAATTAACAGATCATTAACCTATACTGTTTAGGGCTGTGTATTGGAAAGAATCTGGGAATACAATACGTATCACGATACGGGGGCAATGATACGTTATATTGCGATACTATAGGCACGATGATATATTGAGTGGGTCCCCCCCACCCCCACCCACCCCCCAGTGTGATCCTAGT